ATATTAATTTTAAAATGAAACAAATCTTTTTAATTTAAACATTTAGGGAATTTTCTACCTTGTCTTAGTAGAGCTTAAATATAATAGATCCTTGAAAAATTTATGTTTGTGTAGTATGATGTGTTTATTTTTGCATTATGGAAAAAATTATGAGATTTTTAACTTATACATGGATTTAATTCACGATACTATTACTTGTTTTGGGCAAGTTATAGGACCTCTGTAAGAATTTCTCCATTCTTAAAAATGAGGTGTAATAATACCTATTTCACAGATAGTGAATGTAAAAAATCCATATGTAACAGCACCTAATGCTTTGGTACCTTGTTTACTCTCAAATACTAGTTTTCTTTCTCTTTTCCTATAGAAGTAGCAACAATAAGAGTTGGAGATGAATGCAAAATGATTTCAGAATACTCAGTATAGTGAAATCCCTTGTGTCAGTTCAGAGCTCACACTGAAGTCAGGCTTCTTGAGTTTAAATCCTAGCACACATCCTGGTTTGGAATTCTTACACAGCAGTCTGACAATCCTGGCACACATCCTGGTTTGGAATTCTTACACAGCAGGCTGACCTTGGGCAAGTCTTTATCTTCCTTTAGTTTCCCAGTATGTAAAATGATGATAAATAGTACCTACCTCATAGGGTTGCTTTGAAGATTAAATGAGTTGATACATGTGATACTCTTAGAACAGTGCCTTTCACATAGTACTAAATGTATATTAACTATTATTATCATTATTAAGTACACCTTGAGTTTTAACTTGTGCCTAAAAGCTTTGGCCACTCCCATCCAAAACCAAACAATGAAATCCAGTTTGATTTAGGACTATAGTTAGATTCTGATTAATCAAGGTTTTTTTTTCTTTTTTTATTTGTAGCTGCCTAATTAAAAAAATTGCGTTTGGTTTACATGACCTTTTCCCAGCCAACTCAAATATTTGAACAAGCTTATACAGAAAAAGATGTTTTACTGAAACTATAATTTATTAAATGACTGAGGTGTTTATTAAAAAGTGACTAGGGCTAACCAAAAGGTTGGCAGTTCGAATCCACCAGCCACTCCTTGGAAACCCTATGGGACAGTTCTGGTCTGTACTATAGGGTCGCTGTGAGTCAGAATCGACTCAGCGGCAGCTGCCAGGCCTGCCAGTGTCTTTTTTTTTCCTCCACTTCTCTTTTTTATTTTTCTTTTTTATTGTGCTTTAACTGAAAGTTTATAGTTCACGTTAGTTTCTTAAACGAAAATTTTTATACACATTGTCATATGACCCTAGTTGCTCTCCCTGTACCGTGACACGCATACTCCCCCTTTCTACCCCGGTTTTCCTGTGTCCATTCAACCAGCTCCTGTTCCTTTCTACCTTCTCATCCCACCTCCAGACAGGAGCTGCCCATTCAGAGTCATGTATCCACTTGAGCTAAGAAGCGCACTCTTCACGAGTATCTTTTTATGTCTTATACTCCAGTCTAATCTTTGTCTGAAGAGTTGGCTTCAGGAATGGTTTTAGTTTTGGGCTAACAGAGAGTCCGGGAGCCATGTCTTCCGGGATCCCTCCAGTCTCAGACCATCAGGTCTGGTCTTTTTACTAGAATTTGAGTTCTGCACCCTACTTTTCCTGTGCTCCATCAGGGACTCTCTGTTGTGTTCCCTGTCAGGGTGGTCATTGGTGGTAGCCAGGCACCATCTGGTTCTTCTGGTCTCAGGGTGATGGGTCTTTGGTTTATGTGGCCCTTTTTGTCTCTTGGGCTAATATTTTCCTTGTGTCTTTGCTGTTCTTTATTCGCCTTTACTCCAGGTGGGTTGGGACCAATTGATGCATCTTAGATGGCCTCTCACTAGCTTTTAAGACCCCAGACGCCACTCACCAAAGTGGGATGTAGAACATTTTCTTAATAAACTTTATTATGCCATTTGACCTAGATGTCCCTCAAAACCATGGTCCCCAGACCCCTGCCCCTGCTACTCTGTCCCTCGAAGTTTTTGATTGTATTCAGAAAACTTCTTAGCTTTTGGTTTAGTCCAGTTGTGCTGACTTCCCCTGTAGCGTGTGTTGTCCTTCCCTGCACCTAAGATAATTCTTGTCTACTATCTAGTTAGTGAATACCCCCTCTCTGCCTCCCCACCCTCGTAATCATCAAAGAATGTTTTCTTCTGTGTTTAAACCTTTTCTTGAGTATAATAGTGGTCTCATACAATATTTGTCCTTTTGCGACCAGCTAATTTCACTCAGTGTAATGCCTTCCGGATTCATCCATGTTATGAGATGTTTCACAGATTCATTGTTACTTTTTATTGTTGTGTAGTATTCCATTCTGTGAATATGCCATGATTTGTTTATCCATTTGTCCGTTGATGGCCACCTAGGTTGTTTCTATCTTTTTGCCTTTGTACACAGTGCTGCAGTGAACATGAGTGTGCATGTATCTATCCGTGGGACGGCTCTTAGTTCTCTAAGGTATATTCCAGGGAGCAGGATTGCTGGATCGCATGGTACTTCTAGCTTTTTAAGGAAGTGCCAGATTGATTTCCAAAGTAGTTGTACCATTTTACATTCCCACCAACAGTGTATAAGTGTTCCAGTCTCTCCACAACCTCTCCGACATTTATTATTTTGTGTGTTTTGGATTAATGCTAGCCTTGTTGGGATGAGATGGTATCTCATTGTAGTTTTGATTTGCATTTCCCTAATGGCTAATGATCCTGAGCATTTCCTCATGTATCTGTTAGCTGCCTGAATGTCTTCTTTGGTGAAGTGCCTGTTCATATCCTTTGCCCATTTTTTAAATGGGTTATTTGTGTTTTTGTTGTTGAGGCGTTGCAGTAGATTTTATAGATTTTATAGATTAGACGCTGATTGTATTTGTTGTAGCCAAAATTTTTTTCCCAGTCTGTAGGTTGTCTTTTTACTCTTTTGGTGAAGTCTTTTGATGAGTATAAGTGTTTGATTTTAAGGAGCTCCCAGTTATCTAATTTCTGTTCTGGTGTTTATGCATTGTTAGTTATGTTTTATATTCTGTTTATTCCATGTATTAGGGCTTCTAGCGTTGTCCCTATTTTTACTTCCATGATCTTTATCGTTTTCAATTTTATATTTAGGTCTTTGATCCATTTTGAGTTAGTTTTTGTGCATGGTGTGAGGTATGGGTCTTGTTTCAGTTTTTTGCAGATGGATATCCAGTTTTGCCAGCACCATTTGTTAAAGAGACTCTCTTTTCCCCATTTAACAGACTTTGGGCCTTTGTCAAATATCAGCTGTTCATAGGTGGATGAATTTACATCTGGATTCTCAGTTCTGTTCCATTGGTCTGTGTCTCCTTGTACCAGTACCACTGCCAGTGTCATTTTGTAGACTACCTTCTCACAACATAATGTGGATGAGAATTTAGATGTGCCTGAATAGTAATTGTTTGATAATGGCCAACTTCCATGTTATAATTATAAAAGCCATCTTTTTTTTTTTTTTTAAATGACAATGCTTTTTAAAGTGTGCTTGTATTTTATTTCCTTCTGTTTAGCTCAGCATGAATCTACGTATGTTAAAGCAGTTTTGGAGTGTCTACATATTGGTGCTTCCATTTTTGTCTCCTGTCAAGTTTATCATCTCCAGTGGTCACAGGTTGAGAACCTGTTTCTTCCCGTAACACATATGCTTAAGAAGTCTATGGATACAAGTTTTCATGGTAGTAGAAGGGGGTGGCTGAGTTTATTCAATTTCTTTTGAGCCATGACATGTGCTAATTTTGCATTGCAGGTATATACTCCACTGTTTAATGATAGAGTATGCATTGGTAATTTGAGCCAGTAAGGGAAGATACGATCTCATTGGTGTGTGATGGTTATCGTATACCTTAAGATATAATCGTTGACTTAAAAGGAGGTGTTTAGTTTGAAGGCAGTCATGGTAAATTGGAGAAGGGAAATTCTGCTACCCATGAAGGTAATTTTATAGTATGATTGAAAGATTAATGACATACATGAGTTTGTATTGGGTTAAATATATCTAATTAGAACACCTGAATAATGATTTAGAGTACCGTTTCTCATAGTCCTTTCTGGGATTGTAGAGACTTGCCTCACACTCTGAGTACTTTCTGGCATGCGACTTCAACTTCTGTTTTTATTCTCTTGTGGTTTTATGGACATATTTTCTCTTGCTCACTTGATTTTGTTCACATTAGGTTTGAAGGTAATTCGTATCTTCAGGGAGGGGCTGGGAAGGTGATGGTGAGTGACGGAAGCCCTCTAGGATTAGAATTGAGGCATAGCTAATTTAAAAAGTTTAAAAGCCATTATCTAGCAGATTTCCCAAAATGTCAGCAGTGGTATGGTGTTATTTCTTCTCTTAAAAAAGGAAGACATGAAGTGCAACTAGGGATTAGATAATATTTCTCAATGGGCTGTAATTGACCAAAGAAATTTTATGGAATCAGCCTTTGTATAGAATTAATGGTAAAAACTATATCAAAAGTTCAACAACAATAAAATTGTAAATTTTTCAAGAAAACTGCTTTGCCAATTCAATCTAATTGTATAAAATTTCATTAAAAATATACCCTATAGTACAGATACTTTTGGTTTAAAAAAGTGTAGGGCATTTGGCAAAAGTGTTTAGGAATTTTATAAATTATATGCAAATTTAGTTCTGGTAAAAGTAATGTTATTTTCTCATCATATTCTTCAAGTAAATCCTTATTTGTCTTAAAAATATAGTCTACTCTGAAGTGTTTAATTTGCATAAAGGGCTGCTAAGTTCAGTGTTTTCAGATTCTAAAGTCTTAAAACTAGTGATAATGGGAAGAGTTCTGTAGTCACCTTGGGCTGGTTTGCATATTGGATTAATTGTGATGATAAATGTTTTATTCATTAATTATTTGAACTGATGGGAGCACAAATGTACATATTGTTCCAAAACTTATATTTGTAACTGAATTATTTATTCAGGTTTCATTTAAAAATCTCATTTGATTTTTTTTTTCCTTCCCATTTCATATGTAGGTCATGGCAAAACTCCAAAAGATGCAGCATCAGTTCGTGCCACGCATCCGATACCGGCAGCCTGTGGGATTTATTATTTTGAAGTAAAAATTGTCAGTAAGGGAAGAGATGGGTAAGTGAATTTTGGTGGGAAAAATCACCTGTTATTCTTGGGTAATTATTTTTGTTTCAATTCATAACGTTTATGATTGAATTGGAAAATTGGAATTTTTGAAATTTTGGTAATTGGAAAGGTGGAATCTGAATATTCCAGTATAGCAGATTGGATTTGGTTCTGCTTAAATACTGGTTGAAGCTAAAGCTTGAGTTAGTCATTAGAATGGAGATTTGAGATTAAACAATTGAGGGAAAACAACTCATTTTTTATGTCATGTCTTACACTGTCTTTTCCTGAATTTTGTTGAGAAGTTAAATTCTCTCAAAACTAGTTAGCCAAAGACAGTATGTGATTCATAGATATTTTATAGGGCTTAGGACTTATAATTCTAGGTTTAGACTGGGAATGTGTGTTTGTATTTTTCCAATTGGAAGAACTCCCCAGGGGTTAGGATACGATTTAGAATCTTCCAAATGAGAGCTTCGTGTTAGACCCTGGAACTAACTTTTATTTTATTTATTTATATTGTACTTTAGATGAAGATTTACAGAGCAAACTAGTTTCTCATTAAACGATGCACATGCTGTTTTGTGACATCGGTTGCCAACCGCACAACATGTCAACACTCTCCCCGTCTCGACCTTGGGCTCCCCATTACCAACTTTCCCGTTCCCTCCTGCCTTCTTGTCCTTTCCCCTGGGCTGGTATGCCCATTTAGTCTTGTTTTCTTTTATGGGCCTGTCTATCCTTGGCTGAAGGGTGAATGTCAGTAGTGACTTCATTACTGAGCTATAAGAGTGTCCAGGGGCCATGCTCTCAGGGTTTCTCCAGTCTCTGTCAGACCAGTATGTCTGGTCTTTTTTTGTGTGTGTGAGTTAGAGTTTTGTTCTACATTTTTCTCCAGCTCTGTCTGGGACTCTACTGTGACCCCTGTGAGAGCAGTCAGTAGTGGTAGCCGGGCACCATCTAGTTGTGCTGGACTAACACTTTCTCTTGTATCTTTGGTTTTCTTCATTCTCCCTTGCTGCAGACAGGGTGAGACCAGTGGAGTATCTTAGATGGCCACTTACAAGCTTTTAAGACCCCAGATGCTACTCACCAAAGAAGAATGTAGAACATTTTCTTTATAAATTATATTGCGCCAATTGAGTTGGATGTTCCCAGAGACCATGGTCCCTGCAGCCCTAAGCCCAGTAATTTTGTCCCTCAGGGAGTTTGGATGTGTCTGTGGAGCTTCCATGACCTTGCCTTGGACAAGTTGTGCTGGCTTCCCCAGTATCGTGTACTGTCTTACCCTTCACCAAAGTTACCGCTTACCTATTGTCCAGTTAGTGTTTTTCTTTCCCGCCCCTCCTCTCACTCGCAACCATCAAAGGTTGTTTCTTTTTGTGTGTAAACCTTTTCATGAGTTTTTATAGTAGTGGTCTCGTACAATACTTGTCCTTTTGTGATTGACTTACTTTACTCAGCATAATGCCCTCCAGATTCATCCATGTTGTGAGATGCTTCGCAGATTCATCATTGTTCTTTTTCATTGCATAATGCTGCGTTCTGTGTGTGCCGTAGTTTGTTATCCATTCATCTGTTGATGGGCATGTAGGTTGTTTCTATCTTTCCGCTATTGTGAACAATGCTGCAGTGAACATGGGTGTGCATATGTCTATTCAGGTGACAGCTCTTATTTCTCTAGGATGTATTCCTAGGAGTGGGATTGCTGGATCATATGGTATTTCTATTTCTAGCTTTTTAAGGAAGTGCCATATCGTTTTCCAAACTGGTTATACCATTTTACATTCCCACCAGTAGTGCATAAGAGTTCCAGTCTCCCTGCAGCCTCTCCAACATTTGTTATTTTCTGTTTTTTTTAAATTCGTGCCAGTAATGGCAGGGGTGAGATGGTATCTCATTGTGGTTTTGATTTGCATTTCTTTTATGGCTAGTGATCGCAAGCGTTTCCTCATGTCTGTTGGCCACTTGAATGTCTTCTTTTGTGAACTGTCCGTTCATGTCCTTTGACCGTTTTTAAATTGGATTATTTGTCTTTTTGTTGTAGAGGTGTTGGATTTTCCTATAGATTTTAGAGATTAGACTTCTGTGGGATTTGTCATAGCCAAAATTTTTTCCCAGTCTGTAGGTTCTCTTTTGGTAAAGTCTTTTGATGAGCATAAGTGTTTAATTTTTAGAAGATCCCGGTTATCTAGCTTATCTTCTGGAACCAACTTGTGGTCAGGGGGGTGAGGACATCAGAATCATTTATGGAACTTGTAAAAATGGCATGGTGGGGGCATCTGACCTCCTTTTAACTTTTCAAGGGGGCGAGAGAATCACCATCAGCATCAGCCCAAAGCCAATTCCTAGGAAGCAGAGGTTAGAAATACTTCCTCTCTCCAAATTTTTTACCAGTTCTGCCACCAGCCATTCCTCTCATGGCACTTTGTTAGGTTCGATAATGCATTGCAATGGCCACACAGAAGTCACAGACCATACTCATGATTATGGGGTTTATTAGGGAAATAACAGGTTACAATTCAGGATCAGGAATGACTCAGGATAAAGTTCTTCAGTCAGGACAGCTTGGGCCCCTTGGGCCTCTTGGGCTGGCCTGGCCTCTTCCCTGCTTGGGCAAGTGTTACACAGCTCTTTAGCTCTGCCAGAAAGTGCCCAGAGGCATCTCACTTCGGCCAATAAGCCTGAATCCGAAGGCACTCAGCTCTAGTTCTGTGAGTAGGCAAATCTTGCTCCGATGACAAGTGCCTGGAGGCACCCTACTCTGCTAGCAAGCTTCCTGCCTGAAGGTGCTCAGCTCTCTCACTCCGTGGGCCAGGAAACCCACGACACCATCTCCTGCTGATCTCCTGGTTCTGCTGCTGCTGGTTCTCTGCCACGCTTGCTGTTGTTTCTTACTGTCTCGTGCCATCTCTGGTGTTACAGCTCTCTGTCTCCTGGGTCTAGGAGGTTCTCAGTGCAGGGACCCCAGGTCCAAGGGATGTGCTCTGCTCCCGGCTCTTCTTTCTTGGTAGTAGTGAAGTTCTCCTCTGCTCTGGGATTGGCTCTCTTTTAAGCCTAGCGGGATGGCAGAACTGACCAATCTCCTCATTAGGGTTCCATACTCCTTATTTGCATGCTCTCACCCCTGCAGGCTTCCATGCACCTTATTTTTATTTGATTTTATTTTTTTATTGTTGTAATTAAATGAAGTTTACATTTCAAGCTAGTCTCCCATACAAAATTTTTATACATACATTGTTATGAGACCCTAATTGCTCATCCCATTCTGCAACAGCACACTCATCCTTTCTGCCCCTGATTCCCCATGACCATTCAACCAGCTCCTCACTCTCTCTGCCTTCCCATCTCACCTCTGGACAGAAGCTGCCCCTTTGGTCTCTTGTATCTACTTGACTAAAGAGGCACACTCTTCATGAGTATCACTTTATGTCCCACAGTCCAGTCCAATCCCTGTCTGAAGAGTTGGCCTCGGAAATTGTTTTAGTTCTGGGCCGATA